AAGTAAGAGTCGAAAAATTCACAGGAATCCAATGGTTGGACTGATACTCTGCAAAAAATTAATGTAAGAAGCCGGTAAAAAAAAGTTTAATAAGGAGACACATGATCAAACACCAATCAAACATGAAGAATTTGTACCTCGGATATTTTTACAGAGAGAAATTGCTCCTCCTCAATTGATTTCTTCCTCTATCTTTAATTTATTCTCCATCCTGGCTGCAATTGGAATTGAAGACCTTAAGGTTTTGATTGAAAAGCTAATGTGTTTAATTCTTTCACCCCTGTTGATTTATTGGTAAAAGCAAACGGCTGCCTTATTAGGGAAAACAAACGACGCTTATTAGAGAAACGGTTTAAAAAACTAAAATTGGATAGCAACCGTTGTTCATTCATCGAGAAACCCCCCAAAAAAAGAGAAAAACAAATCCTGATAAGTGAGCCTAGCCACGTCACCGGAGCTATTCCCTTCTTTTATGTATTTATATAGATTCTTATACTTCCTTCACATTTTTAAATTTGGAAATAATTCAACTTTAAACTCTTTATTTTACCCATTTTATCCTTAATAAGAACCTTTTATAACCCCACAAATGTCATAGCCCCACAAAGCTTTTACCCCTTAAACTTTTAAGACCACAAATTTTAAAAATCTTCTTCTTTTTTTTAAACTCCGTACCGAATCAAACTGCCTCATCCAAATTAAAACGGAGGAAGTAATTTTATTTGAGGTGGGAAGTTCAATACTTCCAAACTACTATTTCGAGGATAAGTCAATATAGACAATACTTCTCTTGTGCTAGAAGATAAGGATCGTTTACTTTGATAATGATACGTGAATCTCATGTTCAACTTTGATTAGTAGTATTATAACGAGCTTTGATTATCATAAGTTTGGCAACTTTATTGTTTACCCATAAAACGATACAATTGAATTTATACGTGATTTCTAGATAAGTGAATTAATTTGATTCTGAAATAATAAAATAATTAAAAAAATACACAATACTTAACCTTGAAATGAAGATAAAATTACGAAAAAAATAATTTGGGGCAGAGCTTCCGCGCACAACAGTGATGAAAAACCAAGGAACAATAAAGTAAAATTGTATAGAGCTTTTTATTGATTATAGCGCAAGTTTGCTAGAAAAATCCTGTCCTTTATAATGATAACATAACTCACTATTTATAGCTGCACATAGGGAACAAGGACCTAAGATCATACCTTTCTTTAGTGCCAATTATGAGGGCCATTGAAGAAGGTGTAACGATGAGCGTAAATGACAAATTCTTTGTAACGGGCAGCGCACTAAATGTTGTGGAATATTCTCCATTAAATGTTACCGTGCGGAGGGTATTTATTGCATCTTTTGGTTTTAGCTATCCCCGCCTTAGGTTCTATGTGTTCTTTTTTTGGACGGCCATGTATCATAGTGTAATGACCCGGCCTGTCGTTTTAAATATTGTAACCCCGTTCCCCCATTTACTGCTCAATTTATGTCTTGCAATTGATTTATGACTTATCGGGTTATTTGGTTCGGGTCCGGAAGGAACTCTGAGTGAAATGAGACACTTAGTCTCATAATTAAAAATTTAAGTTAGAAAAGTGGACCGGATATGGACCTATATATAAATGACCCCGGAATGGAATTTTGATGATGTCAATAGCTCCATATGGTGATTTTGGACTTAGGAGCGTGTCCGAAAAGTTATTTGGAGGTCCGTAGTGGAAGTAAGCTTAAAATGGCGAAAAAATTGAATTTTGAAAAGTTTGACTGGGGGGTGACTTTTTAATATCGGGGTCGAAATATTATTCTAAAAATTTGAATAGTTTCGCTATGTCATTTATGACTTGTGTGCAAAATTTGAAGTCATTCTGGATTGATTTGATATGTTTTAGCACAAGATATAGAATTTGAAAGTTCAAATTTCATAGATTTTGATTTGAGGTGCGATTCGTCGTTTTGGTGTTGTCTGATATGATTTGAGACCTCGAGTAGGTCCGTGTTATGTTATGGAACTTGTTGGTATGTTCGGACGGGGTCCCGAGGGCCTCGGGTGAGTTTCGGATACTTAACGGATCGAATTTGGATTTGGAGGAGGAGCTGAAGCAGCTAGGCTGCTGGTGTGATTGCACCTGCGCGAAAAAGGGCCGCAGGTGCGAGCTTGCGGATGCGAGGAATGATTCACAGAAGCAAAAATTCATGCGCTGTCCAGGCACCGCGGGTGCGAAAAAAAATCACCGCGGGTGCGAAGACCGCAGGTACGAAAACAGTCATCGCGGGTGCGAAAATAGTCATNAAATCACCGTGGATGCGAAGACCGCAGGTGCGAAGAAATCACCGCGGATGCGAAGTCCGCAGGTGCGAAGAAATCACCGCGGATGCGAAGACCGCAGGTGCGAAGAAATCACCGCGGATGCGAAGTCCGCAGGTACGAAGAAATCACCGCGAATGCGAAGACCGTAGGTGCGAAGAAATCACCGCGGATGCGAAGACCGCAGGTGCGAAGAAATCACCGCAGATGCGAAGACCGCAGGTGCGAAGAAATCACCGCAGATCCTGGACAGGATGTTAAAAACAGAGGGGGTTCCGAGTTTTGCCATTTTTGGACCTTCAAGCTTGATTTTTGGGGCGATTTTGAGAGAAAATTCAAGGAAAACTTGAGGTAAGTCACTTGTGATCATTTCTACTCCATAATATTGAATTATCATCGACTAATCCGACTAGATTACATATTTTTGAGGTGTAATCAGGGGTTTGAACTTAGGGATTTGAAAATAAGATTTAAAGATTTGAGGGTCGAGTTGGGGTCGGATTTTGGTAAAATTAGTATGGTTAGACTCGTGGTTAAATGAGCTTCCGGATTTTGTAACTTTTGTCGAGTTCCGAGATGTGGGCCCCACGGGCGATGAGCTAATTTTTGGATTTTTATGGAAAATTATTATTTTCTTGTGGAATTAATTCCAATAAATTTTATTGACTGAAACGAATTATTTATGGCCAGATTCGAGGCGTTTGGATACCAATTCACGAGGAAAGGACATTACAGAATAAGAATTTCACGGCTTGAAGTAAGTAACAGTTTTAAATCTGGTCCTGAAGGTATGAAACCCCAAATTTTGGTATGCTAGGTGACGGGCGTGTGGGCGTACACCGAGGGGATCATGACTTGGTCCGTCCCGAAAAACTGTAAAGTTGAATAATATGTTATTAGCTATATGCTCTCTATGTGTTGATAAAATTTGACTATAAATCATGTTAGAAATCATGCTTAGGCTATGTGATAGTATTATTGGGACCCACAGATGTCGCATACTTGTTGAATTGCCTGCTAAATGCTATATGTACTCAGTCTCAGTTTTTACTTGCACATTTTATCTCAGTCTCTGTTATTATTATTAATACATCATATCATTGTTGTTTGGGCTGATTTCATGGTTATTGAGAGCCCGAGAGACTGGAGAGATTTATGACTGAGTGAGGCCAAGGGCCTGATTGTGAGATATTGATACTATAGCACGTGAGTTGTCCGTGCAGCACGTGAGTTGGCCGTGCGGATCCTTATATTATACTATAGCACGTGAGTTGGCCGTGCGGATTCTTATATTATACTATAGCACGTGAGTTGGCCGTACGGATCCTTATATTATACTATGCCACGTGGTTGGCCGTGCAGATCCGAATATTTATATTATGGCACGTGAGTTGTCCGTGCAGATTATAGTGCTTGGGCTGTAGGAGCCCCTCCGGAGTTTGTACACCCGCAGTGAGCGCGGGTACCCATTGAGTGAGTGATGAGAGATGGGAACCCAGGGGGTGATGAGGGCTGGGAGCCCAGTGAGTGATTGTTGTTTTGAAAGGTTGTACTTGAATTTCATTTGTTGTTGCATTTAGTTGCTATCTGTCATTGTTGTGAAATTTCTGAAAGATTGTTGATATACGGATTACATGAACAAGAACTGTATAAAAATTGATTTGATATTAAACTGCCAGATTTGATAGCATGTCTATTCTTTGCTGGGATTACTGGAAATGAACCATAACTGTGTAGCTCGTTACTATCTTCAGTTCCTTATTTATTATTGTTACTTGCTGAGTTGGTTGTACTCATACTACACCCTGCACTTCATGTGTAGATCCATGTATTTCCGGACATAGCATGTGTTGATTCTTCCGTACAACTAATTTTTCGGAGATTCAGAGATAGCTGCCGTGTTTCGCAGACCTTGTCTCTCCTTCCCTATCTCTGTATTACTGTATTTTGGTCTTAGACTATTGTAGACCGTACTTTTTCAGATTTGTATTCATATTAGATGCTCATATACTCAGTGACACCAGGTTTGGGGAGTGTTCGTATTTGTATTTGGGAGATTTTGTATTGTATTTAAATATTATATTTTTAAACTTAAAAGAAATTGTGATTTAGTGACATTAACGGCTTGCCTAGTATCGAGATAGGCGCCATCACGACGGGTGGGATTTTGGGTTGTGACACATAGCATATTTTACCATATACACATATGTTACTCTACTTTTTTTTTTGTTCGTTACGAATTTATGTATGTTTGAAAATTCATTAATCTTAACATATTATTATTGAAGATCACTATATACTAATTACTCCATCTGTTTCAATTTAGATGACATATTTCGTTAATCAAGAGTCAAACTGTATGAAGTTTGATCCAATATATATATATTTTTTTAATAATATTGATATGAGAAAAATTACAACTTTCGTGTAGTTTTTAAATATCTAAATATTAATTTTAAAATATTAAGTTAAACTAAATTGAAACAAAGGGAGTATAATTTTGATATGTTATACTATATATGTTAAAAGTTATTAAAATTTCATGTACAATGAAATACCATTACATAATTATTCGAATTACAGGAAAAATATAAAATAGAAAAATGAAAAAGAAAAGGAAGCAGATGTTAATGATACGAGCAATGTGTTTGGCAGTGCTTATCCATTTGGTACATTATTTGATTTAAAGGGCTGGAATAGTGACTTTGCTTATAGCCTTTTTCTTTCCTATTCTTTGTCTGTTCTCTCCGCTCTCCAATCATTTGACTCACTGTTCACACAATCACACTTGAAACAACCTGGTTTATCTCAAGTCCTGAGCTTTATTTGCATCAATCTGAACCTTTCAGCTCAGAGTTTGCACATGTGAAGAATTGCCGACCATGTCTTTTGACATCTCTTCCATGGTAGCCAGGTATATTTTGGTCCAAGATTTTTCTTTTCTTCTTCGGCAGAAGGTTTATTCATTGTTGGCATGAAACTTAGCTCAAATTAGAGTGAGGGGTGATTCAAATTCTGCTTTTCTCCTTTGTTATTTGTCTCTCCTTAAGTGGTTTAGCTAGCTAGGAAAGCTCTTTGAAGACAACAGCTTTGCTCAATAAGCTTTGTTGTCATAGAAATTGGACCAAAATTATGCTAATTAATAGTGCACTGTTTCTCCTCCCAACTCCAGTTTTACTTCTATTTCATGAAAGTTTTCAATAGAGAGCCAGGTTATGGAGATAGATACTAGAGCCTTGACCTGAATCTCCATCACCAAATAAATTGTGAAGGGACAAAATGATCAATGTTGACCGTCATGCTATAAATTAAAAGTAGGGATTTGAAGACCATTAGTCCTTAAAGAGTACCAAGTGTTATGACTTTGCAATCTAGCTGCTCGTTAGCACATTATTCTGTACTTCACTAAAGAACAGTGGCGGATTCAGAAAGAGAAAGAGAAAGAGAAAGAGACATCAGTATCAGTCAAACCAAACTCTCGAACCCCTCCAGCAGTTGAGTATGCAACTTACGATTTAATCGGTTAAAAAAAAAAGGTTTAGCCAAAAAGATACCGATTAAAGAGTGTTCTAACATGGGGGCGACACCATATAATTACCTTAAAGGGGGTCCGATCCTTTATAGGAACTGCCCGTAATAACGAACTTGTGAAATGGATCTGCTTATCATAAAGAGATTCGCGGTTCCTGACCCTGGTTCACCTTACTTGTTATTAGAACAATTTAGACGTTGTGGGTTCTGAAGCATGGGTTGTGAAATGTATATCTAGTTCTATTTATGTGATTGGCAAGCCCATGACACATATTGCCCCCTTTGGCCCAAGAAACAGGGTGATCAGTTGGACCTTTGATTAATTAACATCTCTTTTTTTTTTGATTGACCTCCTCCTTTCTTTAATTCACAGGCACAGGAGGTCAAATTCCGATTGTTGTGAAAGTTACTGANAAGAAAAAGAATCGATCACTAGGTCCCGAGCAATTCTACCTTCTTTCCATTATCCAACGCTCATGCGTCCCCTTTCTCCCACTCTTTTAAAGCTTTCAATAAAGCCTTCTTAGCTGTGGAAGCAGCAACCGGTCTGTTGGAAAGTTCCTGCATAAGTTGTCGGATCCTCAAAAAAAAGCTTTTCTGGGGACGCGCTGTTCAAGTCGAGTTTCCTTATTGTCCCTTCCAAGACATCCCTTCTAACTTCCCTATTTCCAAAGGAAGAAAGAAAGGTCGAAAGCTCTCTTTCGAGAGCCTCTTTTGTTGGGCTCGGCGGCCCCAATCGCAAGGCTAGATCCAGATCCCCCATAGCCTGTTCAGCATGAGGAATGGCTGGCGGAGCATCAGGATTTCCTTGATCCATTCTCAAGATCTCAGGCCCCCCTACCAAAAGCCTGCGTACCATGTGAACTAGTGCTATGCCTAATTAAGCTCTTCATTTTCCTCTCCCATTCCGATGTGAGATTCGCTTAAGGTTTAATAGTACCCCTTCTTCGGAAGCTTGCCGGTCTAGAAGCGTATTAGTCCTTCTCTTTACCCGCCCTAGTCGGCCCACCCTTTGTCATGGGCGTCACAATCTGTACTTATTTTTCGCACATCTATATGGTTTGATTCCAAAATTCTGGTGTCTGGTTTATACCAATGCATACCTGCATTTGGATCCGCCAATGCCTAAGAACATGGATTCCTTTTTCCGAGGATCATAGATTATGATTCATATGTGGCGTGTAGATGGGAACAGAGTGCAGTTTCTCTCTAGCTGATACAAACTTGAAAATGTAGTTCTTCTATTGACTAAGTTAAAGTTAATAGTTGTAAGTGCAGAAGATAGTTGTAAAAGGAAATATGCTTGTGGTGTCATAATAATGAAGCTTTCCTTTAACATTATCCAAATCCTGGCCAAATATGATATTGGCTTGATACTTCTGTGGCATTCTTTCCTCATGTGTGAAACAAAAAGAAATTGAGGAAATGGTGATACTTGAACCATGATACTTTACTGATGTCACGTGCCTCTTCTTTTCTGTTACTAGGTACCTGAATTCTTGCAAGCTGCATGAGGTGCTACCCAATGCAGCTCTTCTATCGGAGCTTTATGAGGTAGTCATTTCTTTAATTTTTAGTTACTCTTCTCTAACGAAGGAAAACAAAAAACTGTATTTTAACCAATCAAATTTGCTTTATTCTAGTCCTTTTTCTTTCTTAATCCGTGTTTAGCACCTTCTGGCTGCTGTAGATCAATATCGTAAGGTGATTAATTTTCTAGTAACGAAATGTCAAATATTAGTGAACTGATTATTTGCAATATAATGCCGAACTTATGTCTATGTATTGAAAATTTATTGTAATCCTTGCAACATGCAACATCACTATGTCGTAATACTGTGAAAAACATTTCCTGTCGTGTTAATAGTGTAAAAAGATTTTGCTTTGAGGAATCTTTCTTGACATTGATCTTTAAAATTCTCATCTTCTTTAGTTCAGCATGCAGAAAAAAGTTCAACAAAGGAGGACTCTATTAGTTTCACTGGATGAGCTTGAAGATGTTGACATGTCCCCCCTTGTCGATGTATTGCTTAAGATCCAACTATTTGATGTTGATGCAGTGGACGTAATTTGCACCTCACCCTTGGCTGTGAAGCAAGAATCTGTGGTCTCCCTAGTGCGTGCAGTCAATTCATCACTCCGAACTGTTGATCTTCAGGATATGCTATTTAAAAAGGAAATCTTGTGGTATGCCTGAATGCTATTATTTTTAAGTGATCATTGAATACCATCTTGTTTTTCTCATCTATTTTTCTCTTGCAACTGAAATTTCTCGATATATCCGCACTTATGGCATGCTAGGCACAGAAACAGAGGGAAAAGAATTAGACAAAGAACCTAAATTTTCCTATATATATGATAATTAGGAAAAGGCGAGGATACCAGTTTGCTCTTATGTTTCCCCTAGCTGTGACTTTAATGTGCATAAGATGATAGATTGCATGTGTTTGACAATACCAAGAAATGTCATATTGTGGGAAAAGAGAGGTCTGTAAATTCGCGATCATGACTTCTGTGTTGAATTCTGGCCTCGGCAGGGACCTTTTTCAGGGCGGTTTGAATTGCCAGTCGCTAAAGCTGAGGTCCACTGAGATTCAAAAGCTGAATATGGTTGGAAGCTTCATGCAGTTACACACCCTTAATCTGGATTTTTGTTCTTCCCTCACTAGTTTAGAGAGGGATTGTTTTGCTTGCATGCCAAAATTGATGCGCCTCTCCATATGTGGAACTAGAATAGCTGATATGTGGACTACCCGTGCTGCTTTGTCTCGGCTTCCTTCTTTGACAGAATTAAGGTTTCAAAATTGCATATGTTGCAAAGATACTGGACCGTGTCTTGCATCATCCAGTAAGATGACAAATCTTCCTGTTTCTGAAATAATTTAATCAGGTCATTCACGCAAGGACTTCGACAGCAACCATAAATTATATACTCAGAAATTTGACTATAAATATTGTATGCAGATGGTGCTGCCAGTCCAGCTTCTGTTGGCAAATTATTTTCAACTTATGAGTTTAAAAGGATAAACCAGGACTCACTTAATGATTCGCCATATAAAGTATCAAATCATTTTGAAGGAATTCTTTCATCAGATCCCTCTTTTGTTGCCAAAAGTGGAAGGGCAGATTTGCAACATGAGGTCTATACCTTTTCTTTACGCTTGCAATTGTTGGCTAAAGTTTTACTTGTTTTTTCTATCTCAAAACATTTATAGGCTTCAATCCATGTATCAGGTTTTTTTTGGTGATTTGCATGTTCAAGAGGGAGATGATTGTCCCGAGGATATAAACTTGAAACTGAGAGATAGATCAGTTGTTTCCAAGATGTATCTTTCTTCTCATCCTTCTCCAATCTGCTATGAGAAACACTACAAGGAATACATGATTGCATTATTGCCTCATCTAAGAGTGCTAGATAACTGTCCTATAAGAAAGCTAGACAGAGAAATGGCAAATACTGTCTTCTCACAGTACTATGAGTTTTTGCCGTACAAACGCCGGCAGAAAGAAAATGTTGCAAGTGTTTTGCATATGCGTGAAACAGGAAGAGGTAATGTGTACCACAACCAATTTTCTCGGATAAAGGAGGCAGTTTCTTGTAGGAAAAGCCCACATTTCTATTCTAGGTCCCTCTGCGCAGCCAAACTTGGTTCATCCGCTTCTCCATCCCTGCATACAGTGTCTAATATCAGCAATCATATTAAAGAAGGAAGCGAGAGCCTTCGACCGAGACAATTTGAGTATCACCCCACTAATCCTAGTCTAATGGCTTTTGGAACTTTGGATGGGGAAGTGGTTGTCGTTAACCATGATGCTGGAAATATTTTCAGCTATATTCCACTCTTTGGGGTGACTAATAGCATCTTGGGCCTCTGTTGGCTTAACAAGAATCCATTTAAGGTGTGCTCCTTTCTCAACTACGTTCACTAGCATTATAGTTGCTCGTGGATCACAGTCACGTGTACCTTTTTGAGTTCTTAAATCTGGTCTTTATGAGGAAATTTTTTACACGGCAGATAGAGCTCTGAATGTTGAATACATGCTGCAAATTGGAAGATGATCAGCCTGTGTTTTGTAGATGATCATCTTCCAATTTGTAAATTTGGGGTCTTAAACATGTACAACACATATTAGACTGTCCCTGAATCTTTGCTGTTCTATGGCATAGTCATATGTATCCTCCTTGTGTCATCAGCATGTGGTGCGATGCGACTACTTTGGGATATAAGGTCAAATTTGTACAACCTAAGTTCAGTAATTGTTAGTGGATGGATCCTATTTTAGACAAAAAATTGGGAAACGATGGATTAAATATATGAAATAAATTGTCCTACCTATATATTATTGATGTAAGGTAACATGTGTAGACAACCTATATATCTATCCACTTATATTCTATTATATGTAGGTGTGATCATGTTCTATCAATTGATTTTTTGATACCTAAATTTTACCTTACTCACGTTCTGAAGTCTTTTTTAAGTACCGTTTTTTGTTTTTGAAGGACCATGTAAAAACCGACACACTGTTTATTTCTTGACATGTACATGATGACCTTAACATGATTAACCCCCTTCCTACTTAGCTAAATTTTTTATAAAATGTATGTTAGTAAAAAATTGATTTGAAAGTATGCTGAGACTCCTAGCTGATGAATTGATAAATTACATGATATCTAGTTATAGAAACCCTCGTACTTTCAAACTAATATGATCGAATGGCATTTTCCTGCTAGTCTGCTGTGTATGCACCTATGGATTTTTTGCTAGAAGTCACAATATCCTGCTTTTATATTTCTTTTAACAACAAATACAAGTACTATATTTGCCATTTTTTTCTCCATCACCCCTTTTCTTGGAAACTGCTGATTAATTCTTTGTTTCACATATCAGCTCCTTGCCGGTTCTGACAGTGGCTCTTTGAGATTGTATGACATCAATGACACATCGCCAAAAGGAGAGACAAGCTATAGCAGTTCCAGCCCTGTTGTTTTTGAGAAATTTGAACAGTTGACTTCACTTCATGTTAATTCAACAGATGATCAGTTTCTTACAAGTGGCTATTCAAAGAAAGTTGCCATATACGATATTTGTAGTGGCAAGCACTTACATCTGTTCGGTGATATGCATCAACAACCCATTAATGTGGCTAAATTTGCACATCACTCTCCAAACCTGCTTGTTACTTCATCATTTGATCGTGATGTCAAATTGTGGGATTTGAGGCAGACGCCAAGTCGCCCCTGTTATACAGCCTCGAGCTCAAGGGGAAACGTGATGGTTTGCTTCTCCCCAGACGACCTTTATCTGCTGGTATCGGCTGTAGACAACGAGGTACCTTGATCAATGCAAAATATTAAACATCTCATTTGATGATACCAAATGTCCTTGCTATTGGTATAATAAGTTAAGTTCTGATTTATGGCATCTGATTAGTTTAGACATAATCAAAAGCAATGATTTTGGTACAAAATCCTAACTTGATGAACTTAGCATCTTTAACTGTGGCTATAACTACTAGTATTTGTAGATGGACTCATAATTGAGGTTTATACTGTCTTTATGGACAGGTGAAACAACTTTTGTCTGTTGATGGTAGGCTGCAGACAGATTTCGGTATAGCTTCCACAGGGAGCGCTCATAATTATACACGATCATATTACATGAATGGGAGGGACTATGTTATTAGTGGAAGCAGTGATGAATCAATTGTTCGCATTTGTTGTGCTCAAACAGGGAGGCGATTGAGGGACTATTATTTGGAGGTAAAAGCTCAAGAACAATTTTATCATTTTTCTCGTTTCCCTCTTTTTAATGCTTCGATCCCAAATATTTGTCTCTTTGGCTTACTAAAACTTGCTTCAAAATATTGACGATTTAGAAAAAGCAAGAAGTTTTATTACCTTTATTTCCAAGTCTACCGTAGTTTTACTAATTGAAAAAACTTGCTTCAATTAGTGGAATGTTAATTGATCTAAACATTTAAGGGAGTGTGCAAAATCCTTAAAGGACAGATAATATGGACCTGAGGGCGTTGCTGCCGTATTAAGGCTTTTGCTTTGTTTCTTTGTTTCCAGGACAGGGCATTGGAGAGTCCAATATTGGTGCAGTCCTTGAGAAGTGATCCTTTCAGAGTAAGCTCCAATTCATGGCAGTAAATTAGCTGATCTTCATTTGCTGCCTTAGCCTCTATTTTGTTCCGTCACATTATCTATGCACTGAATCTAGATTTTATTATGCAAATCCCAAGTGCTTCTCCTTGCATTTGTATGAAAATCTCTGTCATAGGTGCATTCTTTATTAACATAAGGAGAAAAGAAAGAGAAACGAAAAACGGACTTCCACCCCCGGAAAAAAGAAAAAGAAAAAACCTATGGAAATATGATGATTATATATGTATTCTTCATTTATGAAACTAAGCAATTTTCTATTTTTAATTTTTTTTTTTTGCATAAAACCAGCATTTTCACATGGCTGTCTTAGCATCGTATGTGCGCCCCAGTTCAAGACGAGACATCATTAAGGTAAGTTTTATTCTCCTTACTTTTTGTTTAATTCACACGATCATTCCTCGTCTTTTTTTCTTCTTTTGGTTTGCATAATAACTTGGGTGTTTTGGTAGGTCAATTTGCTAGAATCAGGATAATATATATGGTGATAAAGATTCCATGAGCGAAGATTGTTGCAATTCTTATGGTTATGGAGGTTGAATTTTGCATCTCGCGAATTTGTGTGTACGACAGCCCAGATTTTCTGCATATGAATCTCAGTGGAAGTCTTGCCTAAGAAAAAATATGATGGTTGCTAGAACTTGTCTTCATTGGCTTTGGGAGCGTGGGTGAGGAAATTGTAAAGTATAATTGTTTTTCTTCCATATATGCCGATTGCAATTTAAACAGTCAGGATTATAATAATGTGAAAGTAATTTGAGATCAACTGATAAAAGAAAAACTGCATTTGCAAAGAAAAATATGATGGTGCTAGAACTTGTCTTCTCAAGAGGAAGATGTAAAATGAAAAAAATATCTTAATTTCTATATATATGCAGACAGTTAAAAGAGTTTTTGCATTATTAAGTTATCTGACAAGTGAGGCTTGTTCAGTTGGTAAAACACCTCCATCCACGACTGTTAGGTCCTGGGTTCGAGTCACGTTAGAGGGGAAGTACGAAAACACTATAAATCTTTCTAATTTGGGAGGGGGTTTAAAAAACATTTATCTAAAAATATATGGAATTAGTAACTAAAATTATTTGGTTCCCTGCTACAATGTAATATCTTAAAATATGGTACAGTGTAAAACAAAAAACTAGGCTGTCTATAAATTAAGAAAAAAAAGGACAAAAGAGAAATTGAAGTACTTAATCACAATCTTTGTACTTAAATCAGAAATTAAAGTACTGTCCCAAAGCCTCTTGAGTTTGTTGATCGGTGAAATGGGTATTAAACAAATGCTTATGCAATTAGGAATAAAATTTTAATCGAAGTCTCTAGACCTAGCTGTTTGACCAAAAAGTATAACTTTCGAATAAACTATTATATTTATGTAATAACGGGTTAAATCTAATTAATGATATAACTTTATATGCAAATCTTGAAAGCATGTGTGAGATGAGACAGAACCAATGAAGTGTTGACAATGATAAGCACAAAACGTTCATAAAGAATGAGCAATAATGAAGATATAACTAGCAATAAATGACATTTAAGTAAATAAGAGGAATGATTCACCAAATAAAGGATAGATTGGACGAATGTTCCTCCCGACAACAATGAATGACAGATAAATCCAAGGTTTGTTCGGACTATTCTCGGATCTGGTGTAAAAGTGTGGAATAATATGGGTAAGAATCTTGATAAAAAAGAAGTCTTTGTATCTTTACAAAAGAGAAAATTTTCTTCTAAAAAGTGTTCTTATCAAGTGAATCTTCTTATAAGAGGAATGATTCACCAAATAAAGGATGGATTGGACGAATGTTCCTCCTGACAATGATGAATGACGGATAAATTCAAGATTTGTTCGGACTATTCTCGGATCTGGTGTAAAAGTGTGGAATAATATGGGTAAAAATCTTGATAAAAAAGAAGTCTTTGTATCTTTACAAGAGAGAAAATCTTCTTCTGAAAAGTGTTCTTATCAAGTGAATATTACATGCCCTTTTTTCCTTCCCCCCTTTCCTATTTATTTGAGACATGTATCTAACAAACCATAATAGTACAAGCGCAGAGAATATCTTTAATATCCTATTTCAAAAGCTAGCCGTTGCTGATGTGTCAACGATGCTCGACCTCAGCCATTGTTGCCATCTTTACCACGAACCTCGTTGTTCCCTGGCCGGCCTCGACTGATTCTTTCCTTAATGTTGCATTACCCTAAATATTTTAGGGCGGATTTTGACCTATACAGTTAGTCCCTCCGCTTATTGAGGTCGGCCTCAGGCGGGCCCGATGAGCGGATATTGTGTAATGTGATCGAAGCATTTAGACGGTATGAATGAGTCGTGATGATTGGGGCGAGTTGGCAGCGTGTTCGTTTGTGAGCCACAATTTCTGGTCATATGTCCCATGAATCAGGATGACGTCATGGCAACAAGCGTCATTATGACGCGATTTTCCGATACATTGCTTTGTTTCGTGTACGCCTTCTGATTGAATATGCCGCTTCGGTTACGGTGCCAAGTAATGATGGATTAAATCCTTAGTTTCGATGCCTAAATTTTTATAAATAGGGGTGTGTGGGAAATGTTCCTAACCTTTACGAAACCTCTTGCATCCAAAAAACATTGTATCTTCTTCTTCCTCCATTGTTTGAAATTTCTTACTGGTTTGAGTGATTCTCGCTGCTTCTAACATTTCCTTGCTTGAACATCTTTCCTTAATCAACATGACTAATGTGTCCTCTATTTCTGGTATGGCAACTGATCCTGTCCCTTTGGCAGTGCATATACCCCCTCACGCTGATAGGGTCTATGTCGCCATTGAGGAAGAGAATTTTCCTACGGTGGAGGAAATAATCCCTCGTAGTGAGAAAGTTAGGTCTCATTTCTCGAAGGCGCCCGATGCTGAGCCCGAAATCTCGGAGTCAGCGATGGGAGAGGCCGATCTGGCCGAACTTAGGGCAAAATTCAATATCCCTGTGCACGTCGATCTGATCGCAGCAGGGCGCGACGTGGTGCAAATCCACCGCCCGGATATTGCACGTTTAACGCGTATCCTTTCCAGGTCGGCTATACTCTCCCCCTTCTCCCATTGTCAGAGGAATTTTTGCCGCTATTACGGTGTCTGTCCTGCCCAAATCTCTCCGGACATTTACAAGCTTATTAGGATGCTCTCAAAATTTACCGAGTTGGCCGGAGTTAAGGTCATACTCCACCATCTGATGCATCTCTTCGCCCCTAGCTTTTATAGGGGGACGATGTTGCATCTTCGCCACCGAGGAAGTAAATGCTTGGTGGTCAAGATGGACGATAAAGTGAATCGTCAGTTCTGACACAACTACTTCTTCGTTAGAACGGAGGACGTGGTAGTCAATATGGACAGCTTTCCTGAATCCTGGAATCGCGCTAGTAAGTACCCGTCTTTTGTGAAAGGTATTTGATTTGTCTGTTTCAAGTCGTAGATTCTAACATATTCTCTTCCTTGTACAGCCAAAGCCGCGCCTCCTCCTTTGATCGGGGATATTTTCTACTAGTTGGCCGGATTCTGCCTCACACAGTGGGGATTCGCGAGTGGCCGGGATTTTTCAAGAGGTTCGGGCCTGCTTCTTCCTTGGCCGGTGAGTTCGTCTATTTTTTTTAGTTCTCTTATGACCGCATGGTTGCTTGCATGCTATAGTTCATTATTGGTGGTGATGAAACTTAATTCTTTTTCAGTTTGAGGGTCTTCGAGAAGATCGAGGGCTCCTCCTCCTGCGTTTCGCAAGAGGAAGGTCGCTTCTTCTTTGGAGCCTGTTCCTGCTGTAAACTGCGAATAGGCCTGCTTGGCCATCTGCCTCTGTTTTTTCTTCTGCTGTGGCCAGGCCTACTCGTTCGTTGACCTTACCTACTGGTGCTTCCGTACCGTCTTCTTCTGCTCCCGCAGATATATCGACAGCGGAGTTTCCGGCTTCTCCTTTGCTTCAACTAGTGGATGAGCACGAGGAAACAGAATCGTCGCAGAGTGGTGGTAATTTGGTTCCCTGCAAGAGTAGATCGGTGGATGTCGACGAAGGGGTTGTTCGGGCAGTGAATTGAGTGATGGGCGATTATTTTGTCATCCGAGAAACGACGACCATAGAACTTGAAGATGACACCAAGTTATCGCCCGTGGTTCCGCCATCGACTGAAGCCGCAGAGGGTATGTCTATTCCTGAAACCACGATGGAAGCTGAAGGGGTATCGACATGAGTCCTTGATAACTTGCGGCGGGATGAGCTATCAGCCTCGCGACCGGCCGAGAGTACTTCTTTAATGGCCGACATAAAAGGAAAGTGTGTAGCCAAGGATGGTTACGAGACTGGCTCTGATGTGGATGCCGATGAGGTGAGGATTTTGGGGGAGGGATTTACCCGACTCAAAGTAAGGTTGGAGGGGTCCACACGAACTATTGCGATCCCATGGATCGAGATTTGTTGGTCAACACGGAGGACGTAGTCCCTTCTCTGGTCCCCTCTGTTCTGATGTGGAGGGTAAAATCCTCGAAAAGCTGAAGGATGCTACCTTATCTAGGAGCATAGACGGCCTCGCTCTTAGGGTAAGCTTTTCGATCCCTCTCATTTTCGTTTGTCGAGTTCAAAGTTCATTTCGTTCTTACTCTTCGTTTTCTTTTTATCTTTCTTTCATATTGTGATTTTGGAAATTGAGAGCGCCCGAAGAGAGGAGAAACATAAGGCTATTTTTCTGAAGATGGAGAGAGAATACCGTGAGTATCGCGGTAAGTATCGCGAGATTTGTAGGCGGTTTGGCAAAGGCGGTTACTTTCGAGCTCTCATAGACGAGTTGAAGGAAAAAGATGACGAGCTGGTGAAGGTCATCGAGAAATGCAGTGTTCTTGAGGGGGCTCTAAGGGACAAAGAGAAAGAGCTGGAGGTTAGTAGAGGGGTCGCAACCCAGTGCGGCGATCTCCAAGACCAGGTGCTCTCGTTGCACACCGAGATAGAGGAGTGTGAATTCAAAGCTGGTGCTTTAAGGGGCAAGGTCGCTGAAAAGGCATCGGATCTCGAGAAGGCGGAGTTAGCTAGTTCGGGGGCTATGAGGAAGATGAAGGCTTTGGAGATCGTCAAGCGTGTTTTACGAGCCGAGTGAGAGAGTGCCTTGGAGACGGCCAGACTTAAAGAGGAGCAGCTTGATGAACAAATTGGAGAATTGGAGAAAGAATCTTCTGACCTTTGTGATCGGGTCGCCGCTCTGGAGGCCTAGAAGGCTCAATTATTGGCTCGACCATCCTCTTCCCATGTTTCTAACTTCCCTGATGTTCCTAGAGATTTATACGAGGAGTGGATTCACGCCCAGGCGCAACTGGATATATTCAGAGATTTGATAAAGGCGGCAACCGTTTCGGAAGCTGTCCCCGAGGATGCTCGTGTTAAGGCTTGTGGAGATCGTGTCACATGTGGCTACGATACTGCTACACTGGAGGCATGTGATGATGAGGAGGATGCGTGCGTGGACCGGATTAAAGAGGACACATGGTATGAAGATGAGTATCCTGATGGCGATGGTGAAGGGGCGGATGACAATGGTCTAGGCGACCAGGTCGATGGTGCGGCTGGGCCAAGCAGCGATTAGTAGCTTTTCTTTTCCTTCTTTTGTGTTGCCACAGACTTATGCGCTTTTTGGTGGGCATCTTCTCGAGCCTTTGTAAAATATATTCTAAGTATGAAATACCAGTTTCGTTATTTGTACCTGATCTTTTTTTTTTTTTTCTGTTTGGGTTTGTATGTTTTTTGATTTTGTTGCT